GCCCAGGAGTTGGAGGTTGCTGTGAGCTGTGAAGCCATAGCACTCTACCCAGGGGGACAGCTTGAGGCTCTGTCTCAAAAAAAAAAAAAAAAAACCATTCTCTTGTCTCAGTCTTCCAAGAAGCTGGGACTATAGGTGCCTGCCAATTGCCTGGCTATTTTTTTGTTGCAGTTATCATTGTTGTTTAGCTGGTCCAGGTCAGGTTTGAACTTGCCAGCCTCGGTGAATGTGGCCAGTGCCATAACCACTGTGCTATGAGCATTGAGCCAGTAGGTTTCTCTTAAAAAGACTTACTAGGCTCGGCACCCCTAGCTCAGTTAGTAGGGCGCTGGCCACATACACCAAAGCTAGCAGGTTCGAACCCATCTGCAGCCTGCTAAACAGCAATGACAGTTGCAACCAAAAGATAGCCGGGTGTTGTGGTGGGCACCTGTAGTCCCAGCTACTTGGGAGGCTGAGGTAAAAGAATCTCTTAAGCCCAAGAGTTTAAGGTTGCTATGAGCTGTGACATCATAGCACTCTACTGAGGGCTACATAGTGAGACTCTGCCTCAAAAGAAAAAGACTTACTGGAATGGGAAAGAGGGGTAGGAAAGGTTTGAGGACAAAATGGGATTTTTAACAAGGACACCTTCTAAGCAGGTGGCACGGAGATCTTCGTCCAGCCCACCCTGGATGATGGCGAAGAGGTTTTGCTTGTCTGGCCGTTGATGGGCTGCAATGCACCGGTCCAACCAGCGGATTGACCTGTAAGAGGGTCCTGGTCACAAGACCGTAGGAGCAGGATCCCCTACCCTAACATGTGTACATGCACATACACACACACACATACCTGTACATGGCCTCCTCCACTCGTGGTCCTGTCACGGTGCTGCTCACAACGTCATCCAGCTGCATGATGATATCTGAGCCTGAGGGTGACATAGGAGCATCATCACTGGGAAGGCCCCCACCTCTTTTTGGGAACAGGTTGGACCCCTCAAAGAACCCTTCTAGGGTCTTGCTGACTCCTAGTTTGTTCTCCCAATCTGTTTATACAGTGGCAAGAGGAAGGTTTTTCAAATGTGGATCTGATGTTGCCTCCCCTAACCTAAAATTCTGTCCTATCACATGGATTAAATCCCAAAATAGATAAAGTGATTCCTCACTACAAGGTCCAGCATCAGAAGACAGGGAAGCCAACCAAGCACCCATCAGTAGAGCTGTGGTTAAATAAACCATGGTATAGCCCTGAACAAAAGTTCCTTTCCAGGGCCAGGCGTGGTGGCTCATGCATTTAACCCTAGCACTCTGGGAGGCCCAGGCAGGTGGACTGCCTGAACTTACAGGTTTGAGACCAGCCTGAGGCAGAGCGAGTTCTCATTTCTAAAAATAGCCAGGCATTGTGGCCGGCACCAGTAGTCCCAGCTACCAGGGAAGCTGAGGCAAGAGAATTGCTTAAGCCCAAGAGTTTGAGGTTGCTGTGAGCTCACAGCACTCTACCAAGGGAGATAGTGAGACTAAAATAGGTTCCTTCCCCAAATTCCAACATCCAGAGACTTTTCTTTCTTTCTTTCTTCTTTTTTTTTTTTTGTAGAGGCAGAGTCTCACTTTATTGCCCTCACTAGAGTGCTGTGGCGTCACATAATTCACAGCAACCTCCAATTCCTGGGCTTAGGCAATTCTCTTACCTCAGCCTCCCAAGTAGCTGGGATTATAGGCGCCCACAACACCCAGCTATTTTTTTGTTGCAGTTTGGCTGGGGCCAGGTTTGAATCCACCACCCTTGGTATATGGGGCTGAGCCACAGGCCTGCCTCAGGCCACTGAGCCACAGGCGCCGCCCCAGAGACTTCTTTATCTTTTTTTGAGATAGAGTTCACTCAGTCACCCTGGGGTTGAGTGCTGTAGCTTCATAGCTCACAGGAACCTCAAATTCTTGGGCTCAAGCAGTTCTCTTGCCTCAGCCTCCCAAGTACTACAGGCACCCACCACAACACCTGGGTAGTTTTTCTATTTGTAAAGACAGAGTCTCACTTTGCTTAGGCTGGTCTTCAACTTCTGAGCTCAGGAAATCCACCTGCTTCGGCCTCCTAGTGTGCTGGGAATACAGGTGTGAGCCACCCCGCCTGGCCCAGAGAGTTTTCTAATAAAAGGCTTTCACAGAACAAAGGGGATTTTTAGTATTCTGCATGATACTATAATAATAGTGGATACATGTCATTGTGTATTTGTCCAAACCCATGGAATGTACGACACTAGGATCGAACCCTAATGTGAACTATGAACTAGATCAAATGAATTACTCCCCAAAATATGAGGAACCGGCTTGGCACCTGTGGCTCAAGTGGCTAAGGCACCAGCCACGTACACCCAAGGTGGCAGGTTCAAATCCAGCCCGGGCCTGCCAAACAACAATGATGGCTGCAACCAAAAAACAGCCGAGTGTTGTGGCAGGCGCCTGTGGTCCCAACTACTTGGGAGACTGAGGCAGGAGACTCACTTGAGCCCAGGAGTTGGAGGTTGCTGTGAGCT